TCTCTTTGTCGTCTAACCTTTATCTTACTCTTTATATCCCTTTCCCTCACCATTTTTTAAATTGCTGTTTCTCCCTCTTTCTATCCGTCCATTTGCACTCTCTCTTTCCCTCTTCCTCTCTCTCTCTCTCTCTCTCTCTCTCTCTCTCTCTCTCTCTCTCTCTCTCTCTCTCTCTCTCTCTCTCTCTCTCTCTCTCTCTCTCTCTCTCTCTCTCTCTCTCTCTCTCTCTCTCTCTCTCTCTCTCTCTCTCTCTCTCTCTCTCTCTCTCTCTCTCTCTTCTCTCTCTCTCTCTCTCTCTCTCACTCTCTCTCTCACGCTCTCTTTTTCTTTCTTTCTCTCTCTTCCCACTCTCTTTCTCTCTCGCTCTCTCTTTCTTTCTTTCTCTCTCTCTTCCCACTCTCTCTCTCTCTCTCTCTCTCTCTCTCTCTCTCTCTCTCTCTCTCTCTCTCTCTCTCTCTCTCTCTCTCTCTCTCTCTCTCTCTCTCTCTCTCTCTCTCTCTCTCTCTCTCTCTCTCTCTCTCTCCCTCTCTTCCCCTCTCCACTTCCGTCTTCACTCCGCCCGCATCCAACGCTCCCCTTCTCTCCCTCCCTCTCCCTCTCTCCACCTCCCTTCTACCCACACTCCACTCTCTCCCTAGCTTTCTCCCACTCTCTCCATCTCCACCCCACTCTCTCTCTCTCTCTCTCTCTCTCTCTCTCTCTCTCTCTCTCTCTATCTATCTATCTATCTATCTATCTATCTTTCTCACACTCTCACTCACTCCACCCGCCCTCTACTCTCTCTCTATCTTTCTCCCACTCTCTCCACCCATACTCCAATATACCTCCACCCCACTCTCTCTCTCTCCTTATCTTCCTCACACTCTCTCCACCTCCACCTCCACTCCTCTTTCTCTCCTCCCTCTCTTTCTCACACTCTCACTCTCTCCACCCTCCACTCTCTCCCTATCTTCCTCTCACTCTCTCCACCTCCACCCCACTCTCACTCTTTCTCTCTCTCCCTATCTTTCTCCCACTCTCTCCACCTCCACCCCACTCTCTCTCTCTCTCTCTATCTTTCTCCCACTCTCTCTACCTCCACCCCACTCTCTCTCCTCCCTCTCTTTCTCACACTCTCACTCTCTCCACCCTCCACTCTCTCTCACCCTATCTTCCTCCCCCTCTCTCCACCTCCACCTCCACCCCTCTCTCTCTATCTTTCTCCCACTCTCTCCCCCTCTCACTCTCTCCACCCTCCACTCTCTGTCTATCTTTCTCCCACTCTCTCCACCTCCATCCTTCTCTCTCCACCTCCACCCCACTCTCTCTCTCTCCTATCTTCTCCCACACTCTCCACCTCCACCCCACTGTCTCTCTCTCTCCCTATCTTTCTCCCCCTCTCTCCACCCTCCACCTCCACCCCTCTCTCTCCTCCCTATCTTCCTCTCCCACTCTCTCCACCCTCCACCTCCACCCCACTCTCTCTCTCCCTATCTTTCTCCCATCCCTCCACCTCCACCTCCACCCACACTCTCTCTCTCCCTATCTTTTCTCCCCCTTCTCCACCCTCCACCTCCACCCCTCTCTCTCTCTCTCCTCTCCTCTCTTTAAAAACAAACAAACACCCCAGATCGTTTTCCCAGAGATCCATCTGCATGCATTCAGATCCCCCTTTCGTGACCAAAATAGAATTCGCAAGTTGCATATGCGAACAGTGCAGAGGCATCCAACCTTAGTATTAACACGTCTGCTTCATCCTCTTTCCCAATCTGCACTGTTAAATTTATGTTCCTTTGGCTGTATCTGTTGTATTGTAGGATTTATTTTTTTATATATTTTTTTTTTTTTTTACGTTTTTTTGTGTGTATATAGTGTTTTGTTATTATTTTTTTATTGGCGGTATTGTAGGATTTATTTTTTTTTTTTACGTTTTTTTATGTATATTTTGTTTTGTTATTGTTTTTATTGGTGTTCTGTTGTTCTTCGGGTGGTATTTGGAGTGTTTTGCTGGTGTGTTCTTCGAGTTTATGTTTCTGATGTTCTGTTGTTTAAGAGTATTTTTGTTCATGGTACGATTGTAGGGAGATTGTAGGGAGAAAAAGGAGGAGGAGGAGGAAGAAGAAGAAAAAGTAGAGGAAGAGGATGAGGAAGAGGAGGAATAAGAGAGGGAGGTAGAGGAAAAGGAGAAGGAGGAGGAGGAAGAGGAAAATGAGGAGGAGGAGGAGGGGAAGAGGATAAGGACGAATTGGAGAAGGAACGAGAGGAGGAGAAAGGAGAGAGGGAAGAGAAGGAGGAGAAGGAGAAAAGGAAGGAAAGGACTTGGAGGAGGAAGAGATCATAATAATAATAATGAATATAGTAACAGTGCTGATAATAATAAAAAAGATTATAACACCAATAATAATGATAATGATAATGATAACAATGATAATAATGATGATAAAGATAATGATAATAATGATGATAAAGATAATGATAATAATGATAATGCTTATGTTTATGTTGATAAGAATTACAAAACTATAATAAAGATTATAATAAAAATTATGACACAAATGATGATACCAATAATAATGATAATGATGATAATAATGATGAAAATGATAATGGTGGTAATGATAATGATGATGATAGTAATAATAATAACGGT